TTTAAACAACGTTAATAACATTAGTTATAGTTTCTTAATTCATTTTTAATTATGCTAATCAAATGATAGCTCTTGCAATAACATCGTTCCGATGTAAATGTCCTCGACAACATAATAATGATAATAATTCTTTTTTCAACACAATAGTAATGATAATAATAATAACACAGAACTTTTTCAACATAATAGTAATCCTTTTTTAAAATTTAAATTAAAAAGCTCTAATATATTTTACATTTTATACTAAAAATATGTGAACTGGATATTAAAGAAAAGTAAATTTTTTTCAGTTACCAAAACTAATTTTACAAAATTTAAATATTCTTGATTAAGTGACACTGCTCGAACACAGATGTTTCAAAATCCAATAACAATGTTAATTACTTTCATAAAAGCCTAATTAATAACATTTATTGTCTATGGTGCAAAAATGTTGTTCAAAATGATAATTCTTTAAGTAAATTATTTTGCCAAAATTATTTCCCTTTATTCCTTTGTTTGATATTACATCAAATTATACAAAATGCATAAAATACATTGCTAAACTGCTGATATCGATTTAAAGAATTAAGAACAACTTTTATTAGTATTAATTTCAAATGCACACCACTAATACATGTTTTAACAGGCATGGTTAGCTACGTGTATAATTTTGATTTTTCATGTAAAAATTTCACATACGTTATTAGTTTTAAGGATATAATAAAATTAAAATTTAACTAAGATGATGTTTTACGAAAGCAAAGATTTTAAACATATTTGAAAGAGAAGCTTACCAATTAGAAAACGAAATGAACTTTAAAATGAGAATCACTTTGAAATCTAATACTAGTTTCTTAAAAAAAAAAAGTATTTTGGAATTGAGTTAAATTTTTCTATAAAACTAACGTTAAGTAAACATTTCGCATTTGTGAAGATTTATATTCATGATAAAATCAAAAATAATTTGTTACGTAATATACCAGCAGAAATTTTTATTAGTACTTAGACTGCATTTCTAACAGAATGCATGCATTCTTAAAAAAATTACCAACAATTCTGAAAGCGCTATAACAATGGCTATTAAAAAATTCATTGCCAAGTTTTGAATATTTTTCGCAAAATAAAAATAAGTAGCATGTAAGCAAGAAACAAGCAGCCCTAATTGCTTAAATTCTTAGACTCCTAGAAATATTTTATATAGTATATATGATCCTTTCCTACTATATATTATGTGATAATGTTAGCTTGATCTCGATTGTTAGAAGCAAATAACATGTAATTTGGGAGAGGAGGCAGAGACAGAGACACCCGCACACACATTAAAAAAATTTCGTTTCTGAGAGAATAATTATCACAAAAAGTAATGACACATATAGAATAATGATAATCCTTCGCTATTCATAACAGGATTATTTCACGAATACGTTCTGCTTGCTTCTAGTTAATAAGTAACTATTGAAGGGAAAATGCAAATGTTGCCCCAAGTTAACTAATAAAATACAAGATTAACATAGGTTTAGTGCAAAACTTGCAGAATGAAATTTAAACAATACTCTTCAGATTTACTAAAACGCATATTGTTACATAGGAAATAAATGAAATAAACAACTTTCCTCTGGATAAATTGCTTACAGAAAAAAATGAATTTGAGCAAGAAAACTGGCCAACAAGTTATCAATATTAATTGAATAAACAACAAAAAAAGGAACTTTATATCTTGCCAAATTAGTATTGCTAATTTATAACTGTTATAAATTACTAATTTACGATCTTTTTCCAAATGTTCCTGAATTTTAATGACCACATTGATACTTAATTTGTTGAATTACAAGAAATATGAAGACATTTACTTCATCCTTGAGTAACTAAAAGCCATCTTTTATTTCATTTCTTCTTATTATTAGCATAATTATTCTTGCTGATCGTTTGCAAGATGGGACATAAAAAGGGTTAATTAACTCTAAAGATGAGAGATGTCCATCATAATTCAAAACTCATTTTCATGGCGATTAAATTGCTGAATAAATAAAAGACAGTATTTCCATGAGCTCTATTTTTGGGTTTCTTGATTTACACTCCCTGATTGTTCATATGTATGTCTTTTCATATATATATATATATATATATCAGATTTTCCCTCAGGAAAGCTTCATCAACCCATTTTTTTCTTTCACATAGAATTATATTTTGAGAAGTAAAATTTTTAAGAATTTTAAGGGATTTCTTTTCAGAAAGATAATTTTCTTTCTCCACAATGTCAGCAACATTTAATAGCTCTGATAAAATTTTACTAGATCTGAAACAAAGGGGGGAAAAAGAGAAAAGAAAAAAAATCGTTTTCCAGCCGACTGTGTTCTGTATTTTCTGTTCTGTTGATATCTAGTTAAAAGAAAATCTTTTAATTATGAAAGAAAGCATCCAATATAATTTTTTTGGACTCTTCCCTTTTGAAACATCCTCATCTACTTTATATATATTCTTTAGTTAATGAATTAATTTGTACTAGAAATTCGAATACCTGATTCAGAGAAACAATTATTTTGAACTTAAATATTTTTCATGCTTGTTTCCACAAGAAAAAGAAGGAGGGAAAATTTTTACAATTATATATTATATTTCAGCTTAAACAAATTATTTTAAAAACTCGATATGCTGAAATAAAAAATGTAAAACATAATAACGAACCAATTTTATATTTTTTTTCAGAAGGGTTTCACACAGAAATTATTGGAAGAAATCAGCTAATTTCAGAACTTTTCACTTAATTGATTTTAATCTTCAAATTAAATTTCGTTTCAACTTTCATATTAGCAGTTGAAAAATGACTTGAAATCGAAAAAATATGATTTTAATTACATTTTTTCTTACTACATATCAATAACAGTAAAATTTAACTGAATACAGAAATGCAATTTTTTTCACATTAATTTTCGCAATGCAAATTGCCTTCTAAAGTGCAAGAAAACTGTTTGTTATAAATATATGTTACTTTAAATGTCACTATCAATACTATTAGACTTATAAATGTAGAGACACAAGAACTTATTGCAATTGGAATAAATATAAAATAAATAAAAGAGTTACCTAAGTTTATGGAAATTATGTTATATCAAATTTTATATTCAGTTATTTTCCTTATTTTCCCCATAAATGTAATAAAATGAAAAAAAAAATCTGGGAATATTTTCTGCAATTAAACATGAGGCACAAAAGGAAAAAGGCATTATTAAACAAAAGGAAATTAGGAACAAAAGGAAAATGGTAAGGGAAAATACTTGATGCCAAAATTTACATATTTTAAAATTATTTTTTTCTCTTAGTGGAGTTTAAATTTTTTATTTTACACAAATAAATGCAAAATATAACTCCAGTAACATATTTATCCTCCTCCCATGCTTCCCGAGAAGACTCAAATCACAGGCAAAAAATGAAATTCCCATTTTTCATTTTCATTTAAAACTTTACTTTGGAATAATTTTAACACTTATTCCCTGAGCCTTTGTTTTTAGAGAAATGAATAGCAACAGATGTAAAATATAAAGGCAAAATTTAAAAAACTTGGAAATATATCAATGCAATTAATAATTCTGAATTGACAGTGCAATGTGAAATACAAATGTGTGTTTTCCACAATGTTTACAAAATCCCCTTCTGAATTATTATCTTAAAGATAGGACTAAGAGTATTACACATTTTTTTACTATTACATTTATTAATAAATTTAAAAGCTCACCTTTAATTTTAACAATTAAGTTTGATTTTTCCATAGCAAATATAGGATTCTTTTTAACTATGAAAACTTTGATAAAAATATTAGAATTAGGGGGAAAATATTCACGTACAAAAATAGCCAGATTTTTTTCCCTTTCTGGATATCAGGACATATATATATATATATACAAAATGGCATTTATAGTAAACAAATTGCCTTAGCCCCAAAACAGAATTAAAATTTGAGAATTAAAAAGTTACTTGATCCCAAAATGCTGATGCAATAAAGGTTTATTGCATAATTAGAAACTAAGCAGAATGCCCAAATTTAAACCCAACAAATATTTGAGGTTGTAAATCTTTATTTTAAATTTGAAGTACAAAAGATAGGTTCAAAGGTTTTCTAACTCCACATTATAAACTTTAATGCAAAGGAGTCTTATTATAAATTTACATTCATTGTTTCAATTTGATTCACTATGGAGGTGATGAATCACACTTCAAGGGAGAAGATATTATTTAAAGATAGATTTACCAATTCTGCTGGATTGTTTGATGTTAGACATGAAAATAAACTATTTTAACATTCCTAAAGTCAGCAAAATTTTACATCGCAACATCAACTATGCAATAAATGCATTCAAAATAACTTAGTTATCAGTTTGTTGTTAAACACAAATATAATTCAAACTCGCAGATAATAATTTTTTATTTTCTCTAGACATTTTGAAATTTGCGTAATGATAATGCTTAATAATTTAGTAGAAATTTCAATGAAATTTCCCAACAGTAAAAATTAATTACGGATATTATTATCCATACTTAAAATATCACAGCAACAAAGATGGGAGACATTAAAAATTGCTGTATTTCTGTATGTACTCGTTTTTTTACCTTTATTAATTTTTAATTGTTTCTGGAACTCTTAAATTAAGAACAAATATGAATTTTATCAAGTAAATAAATAATATACTGGCATGTAACAATAATTCCAAGGAATTTTGCTTGAAGAATAGCAACCATTTTTTTTTTGGTCATCCCAAAGTTTTCATTAATCGTTGCTAGAAGTACAGTTTATAATTAATGTTAATTTGAATTAACATGCTGCGCGCAGTTAAGCCTAAAGATCGACGAAGCGCGTATTTCGCGCTTCAACTCTCCGGCGTAAGAGCGCTCGAGGGCGGCGAGCGAATAGCGAATTCTCCGTTAATCCGGAGAAGTATCAAAAACACATCTCGCCCGTAAACAAAATAAAATAGGATCACGATAACAGAGTTGCGATTCTGAAAGTAGCTAGATCCGCTTACCTCATATCCGTGATCGCAGCTTCCTGAGAAAAACAAGCAATTAAAATGCAACAAATACAATGGGAAGAGATGAAATCGCCTGATTAAGATTTGAGCACCAGCGTCTGAAATACAGCGCTTCGCCGGCGGGAAGGTTGGCAGCGGAGCTTGCGCCGTGACGTCAGTGTTGCGTCATTCGGATCTCACCCCGCCACCGCCCTTCTCTTCTCTCATCCCTAACCCTATCCCTTGATGTACCCCTTTGCGAACGAGAACACCCTTTTTTCGGCCTCTGCCCCACCGTGGGATTCAGCACTTTCTTGGGAAAACTTTAATGCTTTCTTCAACTTCAGAGGGATAACGGGTTTTCTTAGACGATTTTTTCTTTGGATTTTATGGTTCAAACTTTTTATCTATGGACTTTGGTGTAGTAGAGGGAGCACCTTTCTAATGTTTTTGTACGTTCATTCATAGGCTGAGGTAAAATTTCTTATTCGTTCAAATTTTTTTTTTTTCTTTCGACGTTTTTTAGACGCCGACAGAAACCTGCTTAAAATCTTGGAAAGAACATGTTCAAAGCAAACTTGTGCTTCGATAAACATAGGTATTATTAGAGGTTGCCTCCGATTTCTTTTAAATGTTTTTTTCAAGTTATTAAGACTATTTGAAAGAGAGATGACAAACTTAAATTTAAAAAAATTTTTTTTTCCTTGTAATATTACTATCCAATTTTTTTAAAATCAAATGTTACTTTTTCAGATAGATAAAGGAAAATATTCTATTGAGTAATTGCTGGAAAACTTACTATATGAATTTTCTCGATATCTTTATAAGTCCCGCTCGATCAAAATTCCTTTCAGCTATTATCGCACGAATTATTAAATTCGGAATCTTATAAAGGCAACTTGACTTATATTTTTAAGGAGATGTTTGCAAAAAGTAAATATTTTATATACTCTACTTTTATTATCACTTATTACTTACTCTCATTTCTAGTAAATTTAGTCTGAAACACAATCTCATATTTGGAACAATTTGGTTGCATTTTCTTGCACGACAAGTTTATGAATCTTCAAGTCACTTACTTCCAAGCTCATTCAGTGAGAGCTAATAAATGGAAAATGTGAACATGATATGCTCAGAAAATCTGTAAATGCTAATTCTGTGTCAGAGGTTCTCTCAGAATGTATTTGAAAATAATTTATTTCCGTATTACATGTTTGTTAGTAATCCAAAACGTTTCTTTTTCCAGAAAACTTGCTCGTCATCCGAGATTTTAGTGAACAAATCCCTCATTTAATGGAAAACGTCTATTTGGGTCCCATTTTAAATAGACCTACTCAATGGCATAACTTAGAAAGTCCTTCACGATGGGGCCCGCTCGAGCGGTAAACTCGCTGAACACTGATAGTTCGCTCCGAGGTTCGAATCCCGGTAAGTGAGCTGACTGCATGAGCGTTTATGTGGTTTTCCCCATGCGTAACGTGCATATGAGTAAGTTTCTCTTAGAAAGTCCTCTACGAAGATATCTTTCCTCTCAGATAAGCTTTCAAGTGCCTTGCAATAATCAAGTAAACCAAAAAAAAAAAAAAAAAAAAAAAAAACACCATAATCTTAGGTAAAACTGTTCCGCAGCAACAGTTTAAATGCTCAGCAAAAAGACTGCCAGGTTTGGACTAATAAAAATACTTATAGTTTGAGAAAAAGATTTTATTATAAACATTTAAACACAAGCTGAAATAAATTAATTAAAATCTTTTTAAGACAATGCGAATGCAGAATTAAATTTATTGATATCTGGGAATCAATGATAGGAAATTTGACACACTCACGGATCTAACAAAACAGAGGTTCTCAACCTTTTTTGCTCTATGCAACCCTTTCACCCTTGCTAGACGATCATTTAACCCTATTCCAAATCTCGAAAAATTCATAAACATTTATTTAAATTTAAATTATTTTTTAAATATTTTTTATAAATTAAACAAGAAACGTATAAAAATGTTAATAAATACAAAAACTTGAATGAAAGCATGATTTTTATATTCATAAAGTAAAAATAAATAATTAACCGGTAAATAAAAGGTTGACCACACCTCTCCCTCCCAAAAAACTATGAAATTTCTCCTAGGGGAAAATTCCTGTCCGGTTGAGAACCCTTAGAATTAAGCATCCGATGTATCGAAACAAAAATATAATTTTAAGGCTCTTCATTAGCGCAAAATAAGTTTAACTTCTCATAAACTTCTCATAACTGCTCATAACTGCAAAAGGATTGAAACTATATGTCCACTAATATCACAAAGGACAAAGGGAAATTACTGTTATTATAAATTTGAAATGATATGGAATCCGTTTTAAAAATTTATAATATAAAATATGTATTTTAAGGGCATTAAATTGTCGCATGTAAGTCCATCTGCCGAAGTAAGGTACAACAGCGAATGAAATCCCAAAACAGAAATCACATGAACGTCAAGAAACGTCATTAAATAGAAACGTTATTAGTTGAAGAGATTTGAATATATTTAACAGCGTTATAAAAATAGATTAGCTGTAAGTCTCTCTTTCATTTGTTATAAATTTGCACTCGTCATCTTTTAGTTTTTTTAATCCTAAGCTAAGCATGACAAAGGGAAATTACTCACCATTAAGTGCCGAAGAATGTACTCTAACTTCTCGTTTAAACTCAGCTAAGTTACATCGAGCTCCAGTGACGTTTCGTCCTTTTCAAGGGGGTAGATAATTGCGGCTGCTTGATCGATCTTATTTTAATGTAAATAATATCTTATAAAATTTAGTAACTAAGTCTATTTTGATTTTTCATTTATTGAGAAATTTAACGTTTTCGTTTTCATATTTGTCTGTATTGTCTTTATCTATTTTCAGATACATTGTGTAAAAATATTTGGTAATTGTAAAATTATTGTAATAAATTAAAGAATTATCAAAACTTCTAAAATTTTTGGCGACCCCTGCAAACCCACAGTTTAAGAAACCCTGTTGTAGTCTAATATAGCGAAGAATTTCAACAGGTAAAAGTTTCAAAAATTTTTTTAAAATCACAAGGGACTAGAATCGTATCTTCGTATGTTGATTATACTTTAATATCTGAAACAATTTTAAGATAAGCAATAGTACTAGACGTACTAGTTTAAGAATTAACTCACCAGAAACTAAAGAACATAAAAATATTATGTTTAAAACGAGCTGTTCAAAATGGAAAAGCCAAATAAATAGTGGGGAAAATGTGTTATTATTTCCTCGTAAATAAACGGTACGTGGTGATAGTTAAAAAAAAAAAGAATAATATAAGAGGCAGCTGTACGTTTATCACACAGGATCACTTCTACAAGGGGCAAGTGACAGTGTATTTTTATCTTACCTGGAGATGAAATCTATTTATTGAAAACAAACAAACAAAAATACTTCTTCGAAGTGTGATAAAAAACTCTTCACACTTGATTCTGGAGATACAAAGAAAGTCCAGTAAAAGATTTAAGATTACAGCTGGTGTCTGAAATTAAAAAAATATCAGACAAAAATATTAAAATCATCTTTTTATATAGCCAAAATAATATTTAACTAGTATGTTTAAATAAAACTCTGTAACTTTATCTACAGAGCTGTTGAAGGAACGTATCTCGATAAAGCTACTAGACTTTCATTAATGTAAGGGGTAAATGTTTTCAGAAAATGATACATGAGAGAAAAATTGCATAGAAATGGAGGTACTTATATACATATAGAGCTGCTTTTCCCTTCATAAATCCGGCTCAATCCTCGAGTTCAGCTATTTACCATTTATTGCAATTTTTTGTACATATTTACTGTGTATTTGAAATGTATTTAATTTTTACACGAGTTCTTTTTGAAATTATTTGTGCATTAAAATTTCTTAATTTTTTCTCACCCATTTTGATTTTGAAGTCATCTCGATTTGTAATTTTTACAATTAGTTTTTATGAAATGGCTTTTACTACTTTAATATTGTTTCTAGTTGTTACATAATTTTACATTTTTGCTGAGGAACTATAGTGTAAAATGTATTTTTTTAGCATTAGCTTTCTAAAGTTCCTCAAAATTTCAATTAACAATCCCACATTATTACATTTCAGTCTGCTTTTCAAATTGTAATTCTTAGTTATATTCGTTGCCTTTCTTAATTTTTACTTTATTGAAATATTGGAATTTTAATAGGAGTACCTCTTTCATTCTTATAATTACACACACACGCATATGTATGTGTGTGTGCATACGCATATACATTAATATTTTTTTGTAATAATAAAGCAAAACAATTCGATCATAACTGAAATAAAATTAAATTAATATGAAACAAAAGTAACATTTTGTTTCACTTTTAATTCAATTGTTTTTGAATTACAAGAAGATTATTCTATTTAAATTTTCTGTTTCTTGATTATTTAATTAATTTCACAGCATTTTGCATAATATGAATAATAATTATTAATCCAAAAAGTGTTAGTCCAAAAGGGCTATTTAATTGCGTTTTGGCACTTTGTGACGTTTCACTATAAATGGCGTTTCACGTTTCAAATTGTTGTCACCAAATATTACTCCCTGTCGCTATATTGCTGTATTATATTTAAAGAAATTCAACAATGAAGAATCTGCATAAACGTATGTACGTTTTATCGCATTGTGGTAAAACAACGGTATTTAGAGCCATCAAATTTTGAATAACGTACGTCTCCACCCAAATATGGGCATCTGGAAGCCAAAATTTGGAATTTAGAATTTGTTTTATTATCTATTTCACATTTTGTAAAGCATTTATGAGTTTCTGATTAAGAAACTCAACGATTTCAAAGCGAGCAATGGCAGTACTTTATGGAAAACATAATTATCTCCAGGGCGCTATACTGTGTATCGAAATTCTAAAGATGTGCTCTTTTTAAATTATTTTGTGACATTGTTGTTGAATTGAATGTTTTGGTTTAAGTGCGAAGAATATGATATTTAATAAATAAAGGTAACACACAAACGCTAAAAAAAGTCCTGAAAACTTTCAGATTTTTCTCTTTTTTTTAATTCATTTTTTCAAAATTTGTAACGATGACAGAAGAAGACCCCAATTGTATTTCAATCATGGCCAGAGTGAGATGAAATTAGAACATAGGTGGAATGTTGATTGAGTAGTAGACTCGAACTTGAGAAAAGTACGACTAGCTTGAAAATTGAAATATCATTTTATTTGTGGACGAAAAAATTTCAAAGCACATATCTTCTTGATTGATACAACACTAGGGCTGCTATAAGCGCCCCGCAATTTTATATAAAATGCATCACATTTTTAAAGGA